TCTAATTATAATAGCATATACAGCAAACTTTTAGGATTTATAAGAGCAATCATTTATTTCCACATTGAGTTCGATGACAACATTATGGAACTATAGGCTGTAGTATAAGAAGCTAGGTATGCAGTTATTGTTGTTTTTAGTCGTTGTTGCTCTTGTTGCTTCTACTGTTGTTTTAATCGCTTTTGTCGTTGTTTTAATCGCTTTTGATAACTATCGTTATCTGGCTATTGCAGATTATTATTTTTTGTTTCCTTTGTCTCTTGCAGTTTATCTTGTTACCTTCGTCTATTGCAATTGATTTTGTTACCTTTGTTACTACAGTTTATTTTGTTACCTTTGTCCGTTGCAGTGTATTTTGATGCCTTTGTTTATTCCAATTTATTGTACTATGTTTATATATTGGAGTTATGGATGTTACATGAACGTAACTTGGCAAACGTACAAGCAAAATTATGACATAAGTGTCTCTTTAGTGGAACCTAAAAAAGTATCTTCAATGATTATCTTGGGTATTTATTTCTTTTGTAATCTAATTACTAAGATAATTTTAACAAGGTGTCTGTTTTAGAACGCAATTTTCTTCTGCATTAAGACCCTAGGTTCATATCAAACCTTTATATTTAAAACAATATTATGCACAATATCCGTTATTATGTCCTGGAATGACATATTCGAGTTTGCAGCAATAGCTTGATAATAGCTTTAAATCTGAAGTTATATGATTGTTCGTTATAATGTTTAAAGTGCACATAATATTTTTACACTGGGGATGGGGTAGTGGTGGAAGAAAGAAAACATTTTATATGCCTACAGCAATTATTACGTATGCCCTTCAGAAAGAGATTAGGACGTGTACAGTGGATAGGTCTTTTGAAAAATTATTCAATATGTGTTATTACCAATAAATCATTGCAATCACTTAATTAGCTTCTACAAGATAAGAACGGATATAAAAATCTCGATTTAGTGCCACTTGATGGCACCTAAGTATTTATATGGTTTATTACACATCAGCACAATCCTGGCTGTGCAATACCTATAGTGTGTGTGTGTGTGTGTGTGTGTGTGTGTGTGTGTGTGTGTGTGTTGATAATTATACGGATTCGAGTTCAAGGCCTAGCCTTGTTTACGAGATTGATTTGTAAACTTGCTGACAGTAATTATAATTTCCCAGTATAGTTTTTCAGAAAATGCTTTTGCGACATATATCAAGTGGGGATGTGTATTAAAAAAAAAGCCTTTGTAAACAAAGTTTTCATTCCTGTCTTAAGTTCAGTTTGTGGAATCATTTACTTTTGAGTTCTGATATAATTTGAGAGGAGTTATTCACTCCAATAATTCATTGGTATTATAAAGTGCACATTGACTTTTGGACTAAAACAATAATTTGGAATTGTTGAGAACATTTTGAAAAACGCCCCCATTGCATTATTGTGGTACATCAATATAGTTACGAATATTGATTCATCAAGACTTTCAAATGTGAGAGCGTGTTCAAGTAGGGCAAATTGTCGTAAGAATATATATGGTAAAACTCATTTCTCTAAGTCACTCAGAGAGGAAATGTTTCTCAGGGAGGTACAAGTCTCTCAGGGAGATAAAATCTTTCTTTGACGAACACTGGTCTAAATAAACAGAATGATATACTAGTAAGTGATATAAAAAAGTCAAAGCTGTTGTCCTTACACAACATTCCACATAGCGATAATTTTACCCATAGAATATTGGGGATAATACAAAGAAAATACTAGAAAATATTTGAATCATTATTAGTGGCATACTAACTTGGAAGTTCTATCAATCACTAAAGTCACATAATGATTGTTTGAATACCTGGTATTTCTAAAACGAACTGCAGTATGTAATATTCCTTTATGGATCTTGCTATCGATGTAGGGGACCATTATTATTAGATCTTGTGTTTGAAATGGTATTTGATTTACCGCGAGGTTGTTGGTTGTGACTACGTAACAACTATAATAATTCGGGAATATTTGAATGTATCAAAGTGTATTTGAGGACTGAAAGTAGATCACATGTATGCTTTTTTTCAGGCTTTAAATATATAATAATATACAAAGCTAACTGTATTTGATATTTAAAAATTGTTGACTGAAATACGTTTCTTGCGATACGGTGAGCTAACCTTTTAGGGTGGTAGGTAAAGGAGAAGATGGTGAAAAAATGTGTGATTTAAAATTTTAACGTAGCTTTAACAATTTGGCAGTCATATCGCTACGATGTCTGCAGTGTGACAGTTTATAACGATGTCTAGCACTGGGGCATCATGCAGCAGACATATGGCATGATGTCCCACCCAGTCACATTATCCTGACACCAGGCCGACCAGTCTTAACACTAACCTCGTAATGCTGAGCGCCAAGCGAGGCATATGTTAGTGCCAGTTTTATAAAAGTCTTTGGTATGACTCGGCCGGGGTTTGAACCCCCCGACCTCCCGCATCCGAGGCGGATGCTCTAACCACTAGGCCACTGGAGCTGTCATGGTTAAAAAGAAACAAAAAATAACAATAACGAGAGATGATATGGCAAAATGTTTCAACTCGTGTAATGAAATAAATTTGGCAATTAGCTCTCTGTTATTGTCAAAGTATTAAGAAAATATATATTTTATAAATTATTTTTTGTATTATTTGGAGTTCATTTACATTCCTGTTTGCTCAGTCCTTGTTTAATTTCGCTCATTTCTGGTTGTTTTTTTTTTTAATTTTATATTTATTTTCGATCATTGTCTTAAAAGAAGCACTGGATATACAGTATAGCAACTATTTCAACTAGCTATTTTTGCAAGAGTAGAATTTAAAAATGTCTTTTTTTAATAAGATTATCTGTTAAATAATATTTGTTCTAAATTAGATTAGATGATAAATAATGATTATTCTAAATAATTGAAACGAAGTGAACAAAGTGTATATTTACAAGACAATGTATGCTATGCCATTCAATGGAACAAGAATGAAATAACTCATTGCAAATGATACAATAGTTATGCCATTCACTGGAACAAGAATGAAATAACTCATTGCAAATGATACAATAGTTATGCCATTCACTGGAACAAGAATGAAATAACTCATTGCAAATGATACAATAGTTATGCCATTCACTGGAACAAGAATGAAATAACTCATTGCAAATGATACAATAGTTATGCCATTCACTGGAACAAGAATGAAATAACTCATTGCAAATGATACAATAGTTATGCCATTCACTGGAACAAGAATGAAATAACTCATTGCAAATGATACAATAGTTATGCCATTCACTGGAACAAGAATGAAATAACTCATTGCAAATGATACAATAGTTATGCCATTCACTGGAACAAGAATGAAATAACTCATTGCAAATGATACAATAGTTATGCCATTCACCGGAACAAAGAGTGAAAAAAAAATATTGAAAACAATACAATAATTTCAGGTCATTCACTGAAACAAAGAGTGAAAAGAAATGCTCATTGCAAACGATACAATAGTTACTGAAACAAAATGAAATAACGCATTGCAAATAATACAATAGTCACGAGTTAAAGGCTGGTTTCTAATATACAGTGGTGTTTCGGTGTTTCGCACTGCAACGTTAAAAAAGGTATGTGTTCCTCTATTGAAATAGATGTAAGATAGTTTCTTTATCTACGTAACCTTTCATACAGATTATAGTTTGTCGCGTGCTACAAACATGTGACATTTTAACCAGTAGAAGTCGATAGGATTACAAGTTCTTAATTTTATTACATACCCATTGAATCTTATATAGCTGATATGGCGTTCGATATAGGTTCAATATGATTCCATAGTGCACATTCCGTGTCGCACAAAAAATTCCGTATCGCACACCTAGCCTGGAACTACTTTTAGAACTTGAAATATTCAATAATAGTCCACTTATAAAATAACGGGAATGATTTATTGCTTTTAGTTTAAATAAAATAAATGTCAGGTTTGTAATCTTAAGAAATGCAGTCCTATTGGGTAAAAACTAACGCTTTTGCAGCTGTGTACAATGGAAAAATACAGTGTTAGTAGCGATGAGCTTGTTATGTGTGGTATCTAATGAGAGAGAGAGAGAGAGAGAGAGAGAGAGAGAGAGAGAGAGAGAGAGAGAGAGAGAGAGAGAGAGAGAGAGAGAGAGAGAGAGAGAGAGAGAGAGAGAGAGAGAGAGAGAGAGTACTTTACAGCTGATAAATCTTGCTAAGCTAAATTCGATTTCAGCTTTAGGGTTTAAAAAATATGGTTTGCGGAATTATATTCTTTTAAGGAGGAAGTAAACGTGGAGGGAATCACAATGACTATTAAAATTACGATGGAATCGAATTTGTTTAGTAAAGCTGAGATAATACTGACAAACATTTGCAACATAGAAGGTAGACATGTCGCAAAGAGCAACATATGTTTTGACAGAGACTCCCAATTATAATTACATATTGTTACTCACAAACGATGACTTCCATTTACTTTGATGTGCCCATTTTGACTCCGAGGATACAAAACTTTTCATGCGTAATAAATTTCAAGGTAAAATGGCCGGTCATCTAGGTGCCTGTGCCTACCTCTATTATTCCACTGGATATTTTTATGCATTCAAATTGTTGAAGAAGTGCAAGTCGCGTCGCCAAACCACACGTCCGCGCATAGCTACCCGAGCTATCCATCAACAGTTCTATACCATGATAACGCACCGACACACAAGTCCATCGTCTTAACAGACTTACTTAGGACTGCATCATTCAAACTTTGCAACATCCTTCATACAGCCCTGAATTTGTTCCATGTGATATTTGGCCGAATTCCTGTTTTCAAAGATTCACTGAGGTGTAAATTATTTGATAGCTGACATTCAGATGGAAGTGCTTTGCTGTTTATGAACAACAAAACGTGATTACAAAATGACTTTTGATAACTGGATAATCAGCCTGAAAAGTGTATAAAGATTGGAGAATACTTCGAAGGCATGAACTGGCGTACTGTTTACTTATAAATAACTTATTGTATAGCACACTCATATTCAGAAATTTTCTAATAAATCCTCGTACTTTCAGAAGACAAATGAAAATGAGCTAAGTTTGGAGACATAACTAAAACAACTAAATCAGTTTACACTGAAACATGGAATGAAGATTACGAGAGAGAGAGAGAGAGAGAGAGAGAGAGAGAGAGAGAGAGAGAGAGAGAGAGAGAGAGAGAGAGAGAGAGAGAGAGAGAGAGAGAGAGAGAGAGAGTACAGTTTATCAGATTTATCTGTTGATCTTACGGAGTATCTCGGCATCATGTTTTTTTTCGTTTATCAATTTGGGGTTGGTTGGAAGTGTGTGTGTGTGTGTGTGTGTGTGTACGACTTTTTACTGGTGTATGCAAAATAGATGCATGCCGATTCTAATGAGCATATGCACAATTTTTCTTCAGAATTTTAACTAATTTATTTAATTAAAGAAATATTGGATTTGCAACACACAAGGAAAGAACGTCATTAAAGTTGATGAGTCTTAATCGTTTTCCTCACGTTAACGGATTAAATTATGATAATTTGCTTGTTTGAGTCCGGATTAAATTAATATTATAATTTGCTTGTTTGAGTCAGGATTAAATTATTATATTTTGCTTGTTTAAGTCCGGATTAAATACTATAATTTGCTTGTTTAAGTCCGGATTAAATACTATAATTTGCTTGTTTAAGTCCGGATTAAATACTATAATTTGCTTGTTTAAGTCCGGATTAAATACTATAATTTGTTTGTTTAAGTCCGGATTAAATACTATAATTTGCTTGTTTAAGTCCGGATTAAATACTATAATTTGCTTGTTTAAGTCCGGATTAAATACTATAATTTGTTTCTTTAAGTCCGGATTAAATACTATAATTTGCTTCTTTAAGTCCGGAGTAAATACTATAATTTGCTTGTTTAAGTCCGGATTAAATACTATAATTTGCTTGTTTAAGTCCGGATTAAATACTATAATTTGCTTGTTTAAGTCCGGATTAAATACTATAATTTGCTTGTTTAAGTCCGGATTAAATACTATAATTTGCTTGTTTAAGTCCGGATTAAATACTATAATTTGCTTGTTTAAGTCCGGATTAAATACTATAATTTGCTTGTTTAAGTCCGGATTAAATACTATAATTTGCTTGTTTAAGTCCGGATTAAATACTATAATTTGCTTGTTTAAGTCCAGATTAAATACTATAATTTGCTTGTTTAAGTCCGGAAAATTCTTGATCGTACAGATACCCTGTCACCAATCGAACATTTGTGATAATTGTCCAAGCAATTATACAATTGTTAAAATAAGAAGAACCTTTATAAAATGGCTGGAAAGCGATCTCTGTTTCAACAATATTTTTTACCGATTGTCTTATTATCATAATATCATCGTATGTCGCAGATCCAAGGTCATAAAAGTCAAGTAAACCGATGATTTTTTTTCCATTTGTTGTACTGAAATAGGTACTTGCTAAAAATATGAAATAAATAGACTCAGTGAACTCTCGATAGGTGAGGTCCAAACGTAATTGTGATTTATTTTAGTGAAAGGATTGTTTAAACGTTGAAATACCTTCCGTCAATCTGATTAACTGAACAATTATATGGAGATATCACCAGATTGTAGATTCGAATTTAAAAGACAACCCATCCCCATTATTAGTCCATTGTTTTTTAACTGTGTTTGATCTGACAAAAAAGATAAATATTTATCGAAGAAAACGAAACGAATACGTACATAGGGGAAATTTAAACAGCACGGTGAGGATCATAAAAAAATTGAGCTGTCTTCTGTCCATATGGTTAAATGGAAAGTTCATGAATTTTTTTTTATCAAAATAAATAAACGAATGTGGAGATATGAGCAATGTAAGCTGTGAAATTTCATCAAGTCATTCCTTTCGCAGTTGTAGATGTGATGTCAGCAACTTCAATAGCTTTGTTTACCTTTGAAGTAACTGCGTGTGCAAAGTCTGGTTCCCGTCTTCTTTCTGCCCCTGCTACAGACTCCAGTGGCAATCAGAGTGGAAAAAGCATTAAGAAACAGGAAACCAGGCGTGACTAGGCATGGCCACTGTGCATCACAACACCTTGAAAAGTTTTTGCTTTTACGGAGCTCTCGTCGTCCTGTCAAACAAAAGCAAAAAAAAAAAAAAAAGGAGGAAAGGAAAGTTATAGCAGAAAACCCCCAACTGTGTTTTCTTCTTTTCAAAAATAAGTAAATATGAAGAAACAAATAAAAACAACCAACAAAAAACAACAACAAACACAAACAATTATGTGTTGAAAATAATGCATTCTAAAGAGCAAAAAAGCTTGAAAGGACAATTCTTCTGTTGATAAACTTTAATAAAAACATATTTTTACTCGGAATTAAATTAAAAGAGCTACAGTGGTTAACGTGACGGAATCATGACCGGTAGAGTGCAGATTGGAATCCTTCTAATCGATCAGTCTGGGGGCTACTGGTATGTCCTTGGCCACGACATTTTA